CTCTCTCTCTCTCTCAAATAAATAAATAAAATCTTAAAAAAAAAAAAAGAGAAATTTTGTCTAGAGGTCTAATATAAAAATACTTTCAAGTACCACTAATCTGGAAAATAGCAAGTGCACATAGTTCTTTTTATTATTAAAATTAGGGTATTTCACAATTAAAAATATTTACAATTAAAGATGAAACATCTGTACAATTATTAAAATTCATTTTACTAAATGAGAATCAACAATATCTTGTTATCTATACTTTTATACCAGATAACAGTGAAGAAATTAACAAAAAATAATTACTAAAACTCCACTGTGGATCAGGATAAAATGTCTCCAGTATTAACTCACACTCTCCCATTAAGTATAAAAATGAGTGTGAATGCTGCTTGGACAGTTGGTTAAACAAACACATGCTCCATTACTATTTGTTGAATAACAGACACAAAGGCAAAATGGACAGGTATGAAAAAAGGAGTTTTTTTCCTGCAGAATTTATCATTTCACACTTAAAGCTGAATAAAGTTATCTCACACATATCAAAGACTTACACTATACCTTTCCTAACACAGGCAAGTGAAATATTAACAGGTAGCATTTAAAATAATAAATATACATACTATTTACAATAATTGGGAATGTTAGAGACATGAACTTTTATGTAAAATCATTTAGATTAAAACATTTTAACTTTAGGCTGTATCGGGAAATGCTTACTTTCTCTCCTATTTGATCTTTTAGCTCAAGTAGAGTTAAAATGGAATGCATCTATAGATATAAAGTTGAGAATGTGTGTTCAGTCACTTGGCTCTGTGATAGTAATCTTCTGTACCATGTCAGAGAGATTTTCAGACTCCAGATCTTCTTTGCCATTATCTGAATTTTCTGATGAGATATAACAACCAGAGTCCCTTGGGCAGTCGTCTAACTGTGACTTATTTAAGGAGATGTCTGGGCTTAAGGATGGGGGCACAGATTCATTTTCTTGCTCTTGAATAGCTGTAAATGGAAAAGAGGACAGCAGTTAGGAGAAGCCAAGCCAAGTTTTATTCATGTACTCATTCGCCTTTGAGCTATTTTAACTGTATCAACCTTGACTTCATTACATTTGAAACTTCCTTGAGTAAACACTGTATTTGTTTATTATAAAAGAGATATTTGCACTCAAATATTCAAGCCCTGCTTTCCTAGAAGACAAAGTTTGCCCTTTTTTTTTTGCTCACTTGCAGTTTCATGGAATTCATGTGAACTGCTTGCATAAGCGAAGATCAATATGGACTTTCATTTTACATTAATGATAAGTTGCCAGAGAAAGCAGATTGTATCCACAGTTTGACTGATGCCTTGTCCAAATACTCCTTAACTCCGACATTAGAAAAAGTCATTTGTAGTTTAAATGTAAAATCCAACTCAATAGTGATCTTTGTGGACAGTTCTGGAATCATGATAATGTGGAGTAATGAATAAAATATCACTCTGGGCAACAATGTATAGTAGGACTTCAGTTACTTGGAATTTAAGTAATAAAACTTAAAGTGTTCAGAATTTTTCTATGTTTGCATTCACCAGAAAAATCAGCATAGAAACCAGGTTGCTTTTAGATAGTAAAACACCACCATTTTCATTGACTCTGCCTTATTTAGTCTTCTACATCTTTGTAGTTCCGAAGAACAATTATTTATATTCAGATTGGTAACTCTGTGTTATCAAAGCAGTATTCTAGATTCAACAGACTTTTTCTTTGAAAAAAATTAATACTAGAGATGTAACAAAAGATATTTTGAAGAACCTAAGCAGCACTATGAAGTCTTACTCAAGAAGCTTTTAGCATCAGAATTCTCTTGGTCAGTGTAAAGTTTCTTTCCTTGCCTTCCCTGACACCAGTAAATGTGTGCTTCTCTGCATCATGAGATGGGTCCCTCAGGGAGGAGATGTATCTTCGGCCACAACCTGTCAGCTCTATCAGCATATCTAACCTCAGAGCTTCTCCGCTTTAGACATTTGAGTAACTCCACTTTGGAAGAACCAAACGCATACATTTCAGGGTGGGACAAAACCTCTGCCTTCAGAAGCTGTGCGCTTCATCCAATTCTGGTGAGAAGAAAGTAAATCCCAACTCCAAAATCCTGCAAGAAGGAAACTGTAATTTTCCTCAATAGACTTTATAAAAGTAAAATGCTAAGTAATTTATCTTTAGGAAAGCCATCCTTTATCTTGTCTACAGATACCCTGCTTTTTTTTTT